GTAACTTAGGAGTTCATTGAATGCCCTTGAGGTGTGTTTTTCTTAGACTAGCATGTTTTGGACCCAGCCAGAGAGTGGGTTATATTAGAAGTGGTATTGTGTAATGTGACAGGATTAATTAATGATGTAAAGACACCCTTGATTGCGGTGGCCACGATATGAATCCATTTTACATCCAGTTTGAAAATGAAAATATTGGGTCAAATAATTGTACTTTGAACATGACAGCTGAACCAGCTGTAGTGAACTAACATACTAGGCTCGGGGATAAATCGATAGAGATGCACCAGCAGACATTTTAAGGGGCTATTTCAGATAGCTCCAAGTACCTGCTTCCTATAAAGAAAAACTATCAAAAGAGGATACACCATCCATTGTTGACTGAAGAAATTAGGGAAAGCAGCAAACCTAAGAATATAATTGAACAAAGATGAGTGGCAGTAAATGATAATGAGTGTCAGGATAACTAAAAGTTTAATCAGGTAGAAGCAATGAGAATGAGAGAAAGCTAGCTAGGAACGCAAAAAAAAAAACCAGCAAGAGTCTCTACAGTTATTTAAAAAGGAAAATAAAGTTGAGTTGTGGTCTTCAAGAGAGAGTGGGGAGCTTGCCAATGGAATGAGCAAATACTTTGCTTTTGTCTTCACTATAGAAGATAGAAAAACATTCCGATAATAGGTAAAAATTAGGAGGTGGGAGAGGGAGAGAAACTTGGTGGAACTAACTGCAATCACCAGAAAGGCAGTACAGAGCAAACTGATGGAGTTGCAGGCTCTTAGCCTGGGTCCAGATCGACTTTATCTAGAGTCTTAAGAATTGGCTAATGAAGTAGTGAATATATTTATGCTAGTTTTCCAAATATCCCTAGATTGAAGGAGGATTCTGTCGGACTGGAAAGAATCAAATACGACTGCTATATTCAAGAGACAGGGATGTAGTTAGCTTGAGGTCTGTTGTGAAGAACTGTTTCTAACAATCATTGAAGAGGACATAGCCATGCACTTAGAAAATCTCCAGATAATTGCAAAGTGGCGGCATGGTTTTCTGAAAAGGCAGTCGTGTTTAGCCAGTTTTATTGAAGTTCTTTGAAGGAGTAACTTATGCTACAGATAAAGGGGAACCTGTAAACTCCCTCTACTTGGATTTCATAGCTCATAGAAGTTCATAGAATCCCTATAGTGTGGAAACAGGCCCTTCGGCCCAACAAGTCCACACCAACCCTCCGAGCATCCTACACCGACCCAGTCCCCTAATCTACACATCCCTAAACACTATGGGCAATTTAGCATAGCCAATCCATCTAGCCTGCACATCTTTGGACTGTGGGAGGAAACCGGAGCACCCAGAGGAAACCCACGCAGAGACGGGGAGAATGTGCAAACTCCACACAGCCAGTCGCCCGAGGGTGGAGTTGAACCTGGGTCCGTGACGCTGTGAGGCAGCAGTGCTAACCACTGAGCCATTGTGCCACCCCTTATACAATGTGGAAACAGGCCATTTGGCCCAACAGGTCCACACTGACCTTCTGAAGACCATCCCACCCAGTCCCATCCCTGTATGGCTAACACATCTAACCTATAGATCCCTGAACACTATGCGGTAATTTCTCATAGCCAATCCACTTAACTTGTACATCTTTGGAATGTGGGAGGAAACTGGAGCACACGGAGGAAATCCACACAGACACGGGGAGAAGGTGCAAACTCCACACAGTCACCTGAGGGTGGGTTTGAACCCAGGTGCCTGGTGCTGTGAGGCAGCAGTGCTAACCACTGGGCTGCCCCCTCCCTAAGGTGTTTGAGGAGGCGCCATGTCAAAGGTGGATGTTGAAAATAAGAACTAATATTGTAGGAGGTAATAGCATGGATAGTAGGTTAGTTGGCCGTCAGGAAAAAGCGTGCATAAGTGGGTGTTTGATTGACAGGAAGTGACAAGTCAAGTCCAGTAGGTATCCACATTTTACAATGTAACAATGACTTAGCTGAAAGGAGCAAAGACATTGTGGTGAAATTTAGACATGACACCGGGATAGGTAGGTAGGGGTTTCTCGAAGATGATGTAAAGAGTTTGCAGATGGGTTGCCCAAGTTGGTTTAAAAAATTGGCATGTGAGGTGTAATGTGGGAATATGTGAGGTTATTTATTTTGACAGGAAAATGAAAAAGAGAATTACTTAAACTGAGAGAGTGCAGAATTCTGAAGTGGAGAGAGATTGGATGTAAGTGTCCAGCTCAGGGGCGTCTTTGTAGATTGATGCCTGGAATGAGTGGGTTGTCTCAGGAGGAAAGGTTGGACAAACTGGGCTTGTTCCCATTGGAGTTTAGAGGAGTGAAGGGTGATTGAAGTGTATAAAATCCTGAATGGTCCTGACAAGGTGGATGTGGGAAGCAGGCGTCTACTCGTGAGTGAGTCTAGGACTAGGGAACAGTTTTAAAATTAGTGCTCACCCTTTAGGACCGAGATAAGAACTTTGCCTTGTGCAATTTTGGAAAGTGGTGGATGTAGGATCATTAAATCTTTTTGAAGTAGAGGGAGGTAGATTCTGGTTAGGCAGAGGATCAAAGGTTTTCAGTGATGTGGAAATTGAAACACAAACCAACAGTGATCTTATTTGATATTAGTGGGCTGAAGGGGCCGAGTGGTCTATTTCTGCTCCGATTTCATATGTTTTCATGGACTTTCTGAAGGTACTGATTGTCAGGAATCCGGTTTGGTATCTCTTGTGGTGCCACCAATTTACCCCTGAGAAACATCGACTGAGCACAGACAAAGAGTATATTTCTTTTTATGGGTATGCTGTACTTTAAGCCAGAGGCTTTATCATCTTTCTCACTCTTAAATTTCTTACTCATAATTTTAAACTTCTGGTTATTCTGGCAATCTGACCTACCATGGATCTTTATGGAGTTATATTCTTAAGTTTGCTGCTTTCCCTAACTACTTCAGACAGCTGTGAATGTCCCTTTTTATAATTTTTCATTAGAACAAAAATAAACTTGAGCATTGTGGCAAGATAGTGTGTGTGTCACAACTTGGAAGCAATAGCTACAACATTCAATGATTGAGACTTTGTTGATGCCAGTATCACTGTCATAATTATAATTATAATGGGAAATGAGATTGAAATGTTGTGCACTGCCAATGTTGTACTCATCTGCCAAAGTTATCAGAGCCAAGATTGGTATAATTCCTGCCAAGCCTGATGCTATTTCGTCCAATACCTGGTCTTGCCAGCAGAGGTCACTGGACAGTGGGAATCCTCTTTGGTTCTGATTTTAACATCCAGTCTCACCGTTGACCATTTGAAATTAACCAACTCTGCACTGACCGAGATTAAAACTGTTTCTCTTGCTAAACCACAGCAAACATTTGAAGGGAAATCGTTGGTCACTCCTCCAAAAAACTACAGCACTGTTTTTGTTCGCCCCCACCGTACAAAGAAAATTTTGAAACCCAAGTTTGTGGTCGCCTATCCAGAATCTTCCAATTTACTTCTCCCTCCTTTCCACCCAGACTGAACCAATGCGTTTGCAGCCAGTTTCTGAAGTGTAGTCAGTATTGTGGGAAAGCAAATGAGACACTGACTGGCCAGATCACTGGAATAACTTCTGTTAAACTGCATGCCGTAGAATCTTTTCTGCCCACTTGATCATGAGTCACAGTGTAACGTTTCATTTGGAAGATTGCACCTCAGTACTGCACTGAAGTGTTTGCCTTGATTTCTGTCCTTGCGTCTCTGCAGTGCAACCTCCCCCTCTCTCTCCACTCCCACCACCGACATTCTGATGGGGTGGGAGAGATACCGACAGAGCTAAAGCTGACACATGATGTCTTCACTTATCGAGTCATACAGCACGGAAAAGACCCATTGGTTCAACTGTCCATGCCAACCATAATCCCAAACAAACCTAGTCCCACCTGCCTGCTCCTGGCTTGTTGACGTTTGTACTTCCCACAAATATTGTGTTGCTACCCTCCTTTTCAGACACCCTGCAACTTCCTTTTAGTGGTCTGGCCTTGGGACCAATAAACCAATTGAATGTGTGCCTGCTTTTTCACAGACCAATCCAATCAGTCCAGGTCTGTCTCAATTGACCCATAAAGTGAGTAACCTGGGACCACATGGGCTACTGAAATTGTGCAACGTGAAATCGAGCTCTTTGTCTAAAACTGTAATCTCCCTCCAAATATCTTAGAGTGTTTCAATTATCATAGATTCGTAAAGTCAGACAGCACGGAAGCAGACCCTTTGATCCAACTCATCCATGCAGACCAGGTTTACCAAACTAAATTAATCCCATTTACCTTTGTTTGGCCCATATCCCTCTAAACCTTATAAAAACCGAAAGAACTGCAGATGCTGTAACTCAGAAATAAAAACAGAAATTGCTGGAAAAGCTCAGCAGGCCATGCTGCCAGATGTGCTGAGCTTTTCCAGCAATTTCTGTTTTTGTACCCTCTAAACCCTTCTTTGTTCATGCACCTGTCCAAATGTCTTTGATTATTTAAATGGAAATAATTTGCAGACTTACAGGGAAAGGTTGGGAGAATGGCACTATCATGATTGCTCAAGCAGAGGGATGATACAGTAACTTTGGGCTGAATGGCGGCCTCCTGCACCTCATCAACTGTGATTAACCGGTATTATAACTCCCCATACTTTTTTTTTTAATCTCCCTCTCTGTCCCACTTTGAAACCCTAAAAGCCAAGTATGTTTAGCTGCTATTGCTGCCTTTCTTTCAGTCTGGCCTTGGTGATAGACAAGATGTTATAATTTCCAACTGTTCTTCCCATCATTTCTGTCCCAGCCTCTTAATGTTCTTCCTTTATTACCTCCTGTATTGCTTATGTTGTGCTTTCCCCAGTACCATTCCAGGACATTTTAACTCTTGATTGCACTCAGGAAGTAAGGGGGGAGGCCTGAACTAAAACTATAGGAATGCATAAATATTTGCAAGTTCTTATTTGTAACCTAATTAAAATGCGTTTCTTTTTGGTCCTTGGCAGCAAATCAACCTTTCCTCTGCACAGCTTCAACATAATGAAGTTTGATAAGGAGCGAATAGAAAGGAAGGTGAGTGAATACTGTGATTTTTCTTTTACGTTGACTGTTTTCCTGTGATCTTCAGAATTTTCCCTAGATTTTGTAAATGAGAAATGATATCAAACCAAGAAACCCTGTTTTTCTTTCAAATAAAACAAAATGGCTCTATTCAGAGGAAGATTCTCCCAGTGTCCAGGCCAACATTCCTCCCTCAAAAAATACCTGAAATAACTCCACGGAGGCTGGTATCCCATCACCAAGTCACCCTTTATTTACACTTGCACAGTATATGGACTCTGACCAGCCAGCTCAGAGCCAGTATCTGTAGTGAGAAGAATCCCTGAGACTCCTGTTGGATCTACGAGCCAGGGATCCCAGGTTAACAGCCCCAATCAGGGATCTCCCTCTCAATGAGTTCCAACCTCATTCCAATCACTACAATACCCAAGAAATCAAGCCGATCTAAGAATAAAGTGGTTCAGCCAGCATCCAAGAAATGGGGGAGGTTATGTCCTGATGAACCTGTGCATCGTACTGAAAGATAAATCGAGATCTTCAACGGAGCTGAGCAATGTTTAAGAGTGAGGAACTGTAAAGTTGAGGATTGGGAAGTTTGATGAACCCTAAAGGGTCTGAAGGAGAGTTGAGAGTCCTAAGGTGACTCGGGCTATCCAGTGTTGGTTCTGTGCAGTCTGCCAAATGTGGGCACGTGGCCTTCCGAAAAGGTGTGTGGGTGAAATGCTCAGTTTTTCGCCCAGTCCTTTCAGTGTGGGCGTTTGGCCTTCACCTGTAGAGATGCTGGAAATGGTTCACGATTGCTTTTCCTCTAGTTTCATAGAAATTATTGAATCATCTCTCCCCTAAACAGCCTGCCCTTCACCTTGAATCCATGTCCCCCCCGGTGACTCACCCCTTCGACTAGGGGGAGCAGCTACGCTTTATCCACTCTGCCTGTGCCCCTCAATCAGATTGCCCCTTAGTCTTCCCTTTGAGCGGTCTTGGGCAAGAAATTCTCACGTCTCTGTGGGGATGTTGATTTAATTTTTTTTTTGAGGGTGTCTCTGAAATATGTCCTCTGCCTTCGCGAGCTCGTTTTGAGAGTCTTGTGTCAGACATGAAGACGACGTGGCCTGTGCAACATCACAGCTGATTAACAGTAACCAGAACTTCCAATCACTACAATACCCAAGGCCCGATACCGTAGACTTGGCGACCGCTTCGCAGAACATCTACGTTCTGCTCGCAAAAAAGACCCTGAACTACCTGTTGCCTGCCACTTCAATGCACCACCCTGTTCCCTGGCCAACATCTTTGTCTCCAGCTTGCTGCAGTGTTCCAGCGAAGCCCAGCGCAAGCTGGAGGAACAACACCTCATTTTCTGCTTGGGGACCCTACAGCCCTCTGGACTCAATATTGAGTTCAATAATTTTAGGGCCTAAACTCTCCCATGTCCCAGCCCCCCACCCCACACACCAGGCCTTGTTATTACATAGCCTGCCACTACACACCCCCTGACGTTAGTCCCCATTAACAACTATTCACCCTCTCAGACTGATCGTTAGCAACTCCTTTGTCCAACTATCTTTCTCTTTCTTTGGGCTCTATCCTATCATTTACTCCCTACCCCACCACCCTCCCTATTTTCTGCATATAAACTGACGTTTTCCTAGCTACCATCAGTTCCGAGGAAGGGTCACCGGACCCAAAACATTAGCTCTGTTTTCTCCTTCACAGATGCTACCAGACCTGCTGAGCTTTTCCAGCAACTTTGTTTTTGTTCCTGATTTACAGCATCTGCAGTTCTTTCGGTTTTTACTAGAACTTCGATGCTGGAGACGTTGGCCTGAGAGAGGGCACTGTTATTGGAGTGCCAGCCTCATTTCAGGTTTGCAGGGTCTTGTGGAGGGATCGCTGGCAACATTTTCTCTAAGGATTCAAGCAGCAAGGGGAAGGGAAGGGAAGGGAAGCTTCAGAGTGAGAAGTTGTTGAGAGAGACAAACCCAATCAGTTAAAGCATTGATAGCATTGAGATCTGCAGACCCAGTTCTTGATATGTGGCAATTTTAAAGTCAACCCCTTGGGAAGCTGTTTGTGAAGCTTTCTATGGCAGCAGTGAGCCTTTGCTGCTTTCGCAGATACAGATTGCCATGGGGTGCCCACTTCCCTAGATGTGCACATGAGCAGAATGCAGATGGTACAGAGTTTAAGGGCAACAGCGTCAATGTGCGTACAGTCTCCAATCATCTCCTCTCCCCTCAACTGCTCTTCAGGAAATGGGGAAGGACCTTGTTGAACTCCAACGTGATGGCCCTGGTCAAATAGCTTCCTCCTCCCGTTGCTTAGCCATATGTGAGAAAAATTGTCATTTGCGAAAGGTCTCCAGGCATAGCCCGGCCAGTGGTGCTAGCAATGCTCCACTGTCTGAACAGCACCTTCAGGAAAGGACGGCTCCTGTTTTGATGGGACACAAGAGAGGCCCTCCCTTATAGGGTAGTGCGCTGGGAACTAAGCCTGCTCTTCCTGGAGATGTCAAAAATGGTTCAAGGTTTCGTAAAAAGTATCCAGAGATTACCCGCCACCCCCCGCTTCCTTTTTACCTGTACGTTACAAGCGTTACTCAATCGAAAGCGAAATACTGTGGAGGCTGGAAATCTGATACAAACACACAGAAAATGCTGGAGAAACTCGGCAGCAGGTCGGGCAGCATCTGTGGTGAGTGGAGCAGAATTAAAATTTTGAGCCCAACATGAGTTTTCTGCTCGGATCTATCAGAGGTGCTGAATTTCTTCAGAATTCTCTCTTTATTTATCAATGATTATTATTTATTGCAAGTAAGTAGATTTCCAGCTGCAAGTAAACAATTATGAGCTGTCGACAAATGACTGTACAAGTTAAAACTCTACCCCCCTCATAAAATTCCTCCATACATATATGGTGTTATGGGTGCAGGAAGAAACTGGGAAGGTGGTTCAGTGGTTCCTGTACGTATGTTTCACCAAGATGCTCATTTTGGCTTGCCATGACTCGCTACTCTTCAGTCTCTCACCCCCAAGTTCTTTCACTTGCATGCAGGAGGCACAGAGTGACTGGTTCACAACTTACAAAGTCTCTGACTTATTGATTAAACACCACAGCTTATGCCAACTGATAAGGGAAAGTACACTGGCATTCTGGCAGGCTCTAGGTGGTTTTCCTGCAGGGAAAAGGAGGTCCAAAGGTTTCTGGCTATATTGTTTGTACCCATAAGCTACATGAGAGCCAATCAGATAGTTGTTGGCAAGCAGGAAGACCTTGACATCAACAACTGGTCGCAGCTGCGCAGACCTATCAGCTACATGTTGCTGGCTGAATCTCTCTTTGTACATACTCCCTGGTGGACCTTGACATCAACAACTGGTCACAGCTGCGCAGACCTATCAGCTACATGTTGCTGGCTGAATCTCTCTTTGTACATACTCCTTGGTGGACCTTGACATCAACAACTGGTCGCAACTGTGCAGACCTATCAGCTACATGTTGCTGGCTGAATCTCTCTTTGTACATACTCCCTGGTGCCAGTTCAGCTGCAGCCAAACTTCCCCCAAATGGTTAAACAAACGAGAAGAATAAACCACATGTACAATAAGTACTGGGGGGATCTTGCGTTTAAAAGGTAATTGCGCAAGTCGTCAACAGCCTGAGGAGCAGTGGTAAATTTAATCAGCTGTCCTTCAGAGGTACTGTTCTGTTTCCTTTTGGAGTTGCTGTGTTCATCTCATCTGTGACAGCATGGGTTTATACGTAGGCTTCCACTTCTTTATCCTTGGCTGAGACAGAGCAAAAAGGCCCTCATTCCTAGGCTTGACGTATCCAGCTAAATATAGTGCTTAAATAAATTGCAGGTAACGAGTAGTTAGCAGATGGCATTAAATTTTAAAATGCCTTTGTGATCTCTGTATATGCAAGTAATTACTTGGATGTGTTGTAGACAGTTTGTGTGCTGCATATGTATGCTAATAGACTTAATTGTTTTGTTTCTTTACTGAATTAACCCCTTTGTGAAACCCACAGCAAAGTTTTAATGCACAGTGTGAACATTACGGTGTCTGCGTGTCACGTGAACTTGCACAGAATGTGAAATGTGTGTTTCTGATGGAGCCAGGTCCTGCATGTATGGATTACATATTGTCCCATTCATGTCTACAGATCCACACATGCAAACAGGATCACAAAGCTCCTCCAAAGGACCTCCTGGATCAGCATCGGGAGCTTACACAGCGGATCCAGTGGCAGAAATCGCAGCTGGATCGCCGGGACCCTGCAGTTCTGAAAGGTGGAGTATGGACATAATGGAGTCTTTCCTGCAGTTGTATACAGACCACATCTCCAGTAGTGTGCACAATTTTGGCCAAGTAAAGATATACTTGCCTTGGACAAGCATCAACAAAGGTTCGCTAGACTGTCTCCTGGGATGAGGGAATAGTCCTGTGACACTCCATTTGAATGGTCTGGCTTTAATTTATAAGAAAACAAGATGATTTCATTCAGACATTGATGGAGTTGATGCTATGAGGATATTTTCCCTGTCTGACTCCGAGTGTTCAGCATCTCAAAAGCAGCAGTTGGCAATTTAGGACTGCCAGAAATAGTCCCTCCAACAGTACTGTGGGTGTACCTACCCCAAATGAGCTACAGGAGATCAGGAAGGCAGCTCAGCATCATCTTCTCGTGGGCAGTTAGAGAGATGGGCAACAAACATTGGCTGTAAATGAAAGAACTGTGAACCTTCTGGACTTTTCCACTGCAGAATGTGAATGCCCAGTCTCTAAGTATCTTGAACACTGAAATGGAGAGATTTTTGGATGAGGGACAGGAGGATAGTGTGCGGGAGAGGTAAATCAGCAGTGAACTTATTGAATGTTGTACCAGGCTCACAAACATGCATTGCCCACTTCTGCCCCTGCTACTTATTGTGTTTTTAAAGGAAGCTGATTCAGCAGGACCCAATCCCAGAAAGTATAAATATTCATTCATAGATTAGTGGATAGTACTTTTGCCTCGGAGACAGAAAATCGGTGGGTTTAAGGTCTACTCCAAAGATATGAGCGCATAAAGTAGATATGAGGCACTAGAGCACTACTGAAGGAGCTCTGCACGACCGACTGTATGTTTATAGAGTCTACGGAAACAGACCCTTCGGTCCAACTCATCCATGCTGTCCAGACGTCCCAATCTGACCCATTTGCCAGTATTTGGCCCATATCTCTCTAAACCCTTCCTGTTCATATACCCATCCAGATGCCTTTTAAATTTTGTAAATGTACCAGCCTCCACCACTTCCTCTGGCAGCTCGTTCCGTACAGACACCACCCTCTGTGTGAAAGAGTTACTGCTCAGATCCTTCTTTTTAAATCTTCTCCCTCTCACTTTAAACCTCTAGTTTTGGACTCCCCCACCTTAAGAAATTTATTCAGATGGAACAATTAAACTGAAAGCTTATCTAAGCCCTCGATCCTACAGAACTTTTCAAAAAGGAGCAAGGCAATTTCCTGAGATAACAAGGTGTAGAGCTGGATGAACAGAGCAGGCCAAGCAGCATCAGAGGAGCAGGAAGGCTC